CGACAAAGTCGCTAAGTTGGCAACACTGGTTAACCCCGAGTTAACCGCTCTCTGTACAAACCGCTCTGACGCGACAGCTTCTATTCTCGCGCGATTTCATTTGAACTGAACTGAAGTTCATTTAAAACCAGAACTGATGAAACTTTGCTGAGGAAACATTTGCAGGGATGTGAAGCTCGTTTTACGGTGTGCAGAGAATCACCGACACATTTAATCAATGAGACGTCTTAATGTAAGAAAAAGAGGCACAATTTCAACAGTATGTCAGAGTTTGACTACATGCTACAGAAACGCAGCTGCAGAAAGAAATCGTCTCGTTGGGCCTAAACTGTGAGAAGAAATTTATAGTTGAATTATGCGAGCTGAGTGGGGAGATCTTTATCAGCAGGAAAAGCTGTGACACCGGAGAAAAGTCTGAAGCTTTCTTTACACTTTCCAAAGTGATCCAGTGGCTGAAGCTCCACACCCAGGATTCAGGATCAAACCAAACGCATTTCTGCTGCAAATACAATAAGATATCAGTGTGACTCATACAGGCTGAACGTAATTCATTAGAAATGGAGACAGAGCCTCACATAAATGTCACACTGTGGGCTTAGTAACAAGGATCAAGCGGCTACATAATAGTCTGGTGACAGATGGAGCTTTAACCCCCATTAGGTCAAAAAGAGCAACGCTGCGGCTCAGCACCTTGTGTCACATTTAATCTCTTCCTCTTGTTCTGAAGATAACGCTCACTCTCTGAGTCTGAGCAGCTCGGATCAGTGCAGCGATCCTCTTATCCTCTTACCAGTCACTTCGTGTGAGAAGCACAAAATTACATTCAGTACCTGCTTGGATGTTTTGGATGTTTCTGCTCACGGGAACGGCTCGGCTTATTTGACTCCTGTCTGTTCAGTAAGGCTTCTGTGGAAGACGTGCGAGCCAAAAACCTGATCTGCATCCTGGACGTGGATATCCAGGGGGTGAGGCGGATCAAAGAGACCGACCTGAACCCCATCTACATCTCCATCCAGCCTCCATCTATGGACGTGTTGGTAAATCCCTTTATTGTGATTAATCAATAACATATATCGATTCTTTTCTTGCGCTTTTAAGATGCATTATTTCTTCATATTTGCACTTTGAGCTTTAAAAGTGTGACGAGACTTCACCTGGTAGTAAGGAGCAGTGCCCAGTCACAGGTGTGATTGTTCTGTCGTCTCTCAGGAAAAACGTCTGCGGGACAGGCAGACGGAAACAGAGGAGAGTTTACAGAAACGCCTGGAAGCGGCACGCGTCGACATGGAGCTCAGTAAGCTTCCCATCATTTCCGGTGCAACGTGATCCCGAATGTAAAGCCAATTATTGCAATTTGATTTGATTTGTAGGTAAGGAGCCCGGAGTGTTTGATGCTGTGATCATCAACGACGACATAGAAAAGGCCTACGAGGAGTTAAAAGAAATCCTGGATGAAGTAAGTAAAGCATAAAGTCTCTTTTACTTTATACTCATCACGTGATTGGTTGAAGTATTTGTCACCTCTCTCTCTCCACAGGAAATTAAAAAGGTTCAGGAGGCACAATCATAATAAGGAAATAAGGCTTTCAGCAGGTGGACAGGAACACTGATGTGTCTCTGACGGGAAAAGCTCATCTTCACTGGAACGTGAGATAAGAAAAGCTCTTCCTCAAGCTCAGCTGCGTCCAGCTGCAGTTCAGACGCACAGATGGAAACGAAGCTCTGGGCTGACGTGTCTCACGTGTCCTTTGTCTTAGATTTAGTAAAAGCAGTGGTTGATTAGGTGTGTAGTCATAGATTTCTGACATTTGGCTCAGCAGGTACGAATAAAACGCCAAATCCAGCGTTTGGTCTTCGCAGGCTGGCACAGATCTGCTTTAGCTCCACGTCTAGAAAGTGTTCAGATACTATGACTTCAGTCTTAGTCGAGTATTTTATCAGGATGGACTCATGCACACGAACGACAGAGCATCTGAAAATCACAGTTTGTGGTAGATTTAATCTAAAACGTGTGTTAGAGCTGAAATGTACGTGTGTTGTACTGAAACGAGACAGAATAAAGAGTTTTAGCACAAAGACTGAGCACTTTGAGTTGTTTAATAATGATTTAACTCCTGTAAAGCTTCACATAAAATACTGCGTTAAATACGTTTTAAAGCCAAGCATGTCCGATCAACAACATTTTGATCAACTTTCAGGCTCATGCAGCAGCACCGTGCACACCTCATGTGATCACACGTTATCCCTGATACGCACAAAATAAATCCCCAGACTATCAAACACAATCGAACACAGAAGCAACTCATTAAGACGCATCAACAAATGTTTTTCTAAACCAAACCGGCTCCAGGTTGGCAGACAGAGAGCTGCAGCGACACGTCGTTACAGCTGCAGGTTGTTTCTTCGTTGAGAAACATGACGGTGACTTTGGCATCGTGGCGTCACTGGCAGAAGGAGAGGTGAAGCTTGGTGCGCACCTGGTCTCGTTTCTCCTCCTTCTGCTTGAGGTAAGCTTTAAGTTTGTCGGTGGAGAAGCACACTTTGGAGTGACGGGCTTTGTGCGGGGCGCGATGGGCACGGAGCCACGGATTCTGGAGACACTCGGCTGCAGTCGGTCTCCCCCTGCAAAGTTTTTATCATGTCAGAATGAGTGTTAGCGTGAGTGAGCACACTCTGGGAAAAGACTCACCAGGACTTGTTGTTCAGGCTGCTCTTCATGAAGTTCAGGGCTCCCTCAGACAGGCCCGGGTAGCAGCGTCCAAACTGGATCTTCCCTTTCCTGATGTTCCTGTCGTGATCCCAGCTGTGCTCTGCATGAAACGGGCTGTCAGCACTCAGCCTGACGTAGGGAAGGATAAAGATGATAGTCAGTCTGTAGCCTCATGTAACCCACATTTATCAGCCCTGCTACGTGTGGGATTGCTCTCAGATGATGAGATGTAATCCCAGTTTGAATAAACCTCTTTGCTTACATGATGAACGACAAAACTCCAACAGCCCAGATGTCGGTCTCCGGCCCCACACCCTGACCTTCGAGGATTTCCGGAGCTTTAGGAAGGATAATATACACTGAGAGAACAGACAGAGAATATCTTTTATAAAGAGTGGCACATTTACAGGCAATGCATCTTTCTGTATCAGGAAAAAGGCCCAAAAAGAAACAGATAAAAGGATGAGAA